ATAATAAGGGTCACCGTAATCTAGGGGCCGTACTAATTAGAATAGGGTTTCGGGGGTTAATAAGGAACCACCCAAATACTATAGGTAATGATTAAGGCCTCTATAGTAAGGGTTACTGAATCAGGTTCACTGCGGGGGGCTTTTTTATCCCTGGGATGGGACGATAAGTTGGAGTGGAAGAGCAGCGATGTCCAGAGCGGTCCCTGTGGCCATCATGTGCTGAAATCGTGCGACTCATGAGAACTGTGCTGAAATCAAGGGAGAACACCAACGACAGAATGGGAAGCTGATGATGCTTTTCATGCGATCCACCACTCTACTTCCGATGCTTGTTGTTCACCATCAGCATCACCGTCATCATCCACATCCTCACCCTCATCACCATCATCATCGTCATAGTACCACCATCATTGTCGCCTTCTTGAGCATCACCACCATCGTAACCATGGTGACAACCATCATCGATACAAGCATCATCGTATGGGTATGGCTGAAAGCTCAACCCCCTGTCTCCAAACACGTGCAGACCCACGCTTGACGAGCTGAACCTACGGGGCAAGCACGTGTAACGAGCAAAACCTTCCGGACACATCTGCAAACTCCCACGCAAACGCAGGGGCCTCGATAGGCACCCGCCTGTTCAATTGCTTCGGGGAGTGTCTTGCGCACAAGGCTCAGCAATGCGAGACCAAGGGCCACACCGGCGGAAGCTCGGACCTGGATCTGGTTTCAGAAACGAATGCAGAGCTGAGGATGAAGGCCCTTCTTGTTGTCGGGAGCTGGTAGGCCTTGCCTGACCCCTGAAAGCAAAGCCGGAAATCGCCAGAATAGCATGGTAAGCCAGTACGAACACTCTTAATAGTCCGAGTCGGAGTTTGCATACCGACAAAGGCAGCAACAACAAAAGCAGTAGTAGCAGTAGTAGCCAATCAACGCCATTCTGCGTCCGGTGGTTGTGGTGGTCGTGGTGGTGATGGTGGTGGTAGTGGTGGCGGCGGCGGCGGTGCATGCGAGCTGCTGCTGCTGCTGATGATGATTATGTCGACGACGAAGACGACGATCCCCTTGCCTCCCTATGCGCAACATGGTGCTGATGACAAGATGAAGAACCATGCCAACAATTGCAAACAGCGTGAGCAGCAACATCATCGCCGCCTTCGGCATGTACTACATCGTGATCTTCAGCTGCATCGGAATCGTCAGCATCGCACGTGATCACTGCCACGGTTTGCACGGCAAGAATCGTGACCGTCGTCACCTCCCCCACACCATCGTCGTTGTCATCCAAGCTATCATCAGCATCATATTGTCATCTGGCATCATGGCATCATCATCATCGTCTCCGTGGCCGACGTCATCACTCTCATCCTGCTCGTCATATCAACCACTAACACCATCGCTGCCACCCATCACAGTCACAGCATATCACAGCCAATCTTCTTAGCGTCATGACTGCCATCTTGCTTGGGCGCACGCACATCAGGAATCATGGCCCCGTCCTCAGGTGAGCTCCACCTGTCCCAAGCATCCACCTAGATACTTGAAATGCACCAAGCAAAGATTGCATGTACGAGCACTCAAGATGCGAGGCAGCCTAACAACACGAACACTCCGAAGTCTCTCAGCAGGACATGGAACATCGCAGGTGTTCGAAGTCCGAAGCCCTAAACGCCCGGCGGCTGCCTGGGTTCGGAAATGCCCGGTGCACCCCTTCAAGGCCCGGGCAGCTATTCACTGCGAGCCGAGCGAGTGAGGCAACACTGTTAGCTTGGGATGTCCAGCTTTGGGGCTGTGGTTTCCTGGAGCGTGCGCTTAGGACCTCCGGTCCGATAGAATTAGAAATCTGCCTAGGTGCTACAATGCAGTGGGGCGACCTGTTGTGTGGGTTTACGGATCAAGACCCAGAACAGCTTCAACCCAGCTTTGCCGCCAAAAAACCCTCCCAAAGCGTGGGAGCGGATGCGATCGTTCCCTCCTAAAGTGCCAAGGAAGCACCGATAGCCCTCGAAACACCAAAGGATGTTTGAAGTTGCAGGCTGCCAACACGTTACTGGATCTCAGCATAGCGCAGTGCTGCTGGAATTTTCGTCGTTATTCGCGGGAATGCATGAAGGCTGCTGCATCGTCATCTGCGCAGCACCTGTGCAAAGCCATCAGCCCTTGGCACATTTGCCCCCAGATTTAGCTTCTGAGATGAAACCACTCTGTTTCCAGCCCACTTCCAGCTACTTGCATCTGTTACGACGCACCGAACTCGACTTCGACGACCAGCCTGCAGCTCCGAAGCTTGATGAAGGAACTGCCCTTCTCGCGGATGCTGTGCCTCGTGGGGATGCACTCTCCCAGTCCAAGCGCAACGATGGCTCCCTTTAAGCACGCACCTACTACAAGAGATTACTCAGCTTAGAGCCAAATGGAGCTAAATTGAGTAGGAGTAGGAGACGTTACCATCCAACGGATCTCTACGCCACCAAAAAACACACTCTCACCCAATGCGTGCCGTCGAGGGATGCCCACACGCCATTCCTCTTTCTCAGCAATTGAAACTGCCAGTCATCCGACAAAGCTCTCTTTCCGCGCAGCTCGTGGGGACATCCCCGCTGCTGGCGTAGCGGGAGTTTCAGAACATACGCTACCGTATCCAATGTTGAGATCCTTCCTTTCCAAAGTTTCGGGGGCGTGAGAGAGTGCCCAGACCCTCTATCTGCCCTCTAATTGGACCGTTTGGACCCTAAATACCTACAATTCGGGGCCAGAAAACCCCGACTTGAGGGCATAACCGGTAAACCCTAAACCCCTACAATAACCCCAAAAACCCATTTTATAGAGAGAGAGAGAGAGAGAGAGAAAGAGAGTGGATCCGTTTCCCAGCTCTGCCTCGTCCGTGCACCGGGTCGGGGCCTTCTCGCCTCGCTGTTTTGGGCCAGTCTTTGGTGTTTGGACTGGAAGGGGTTTGGGGGTTTTGGAAAGATTCATAGGGCTTTAGGACTAGGGCTTTAG